GCAGCCACTACAATAGCATGTGAGAATTCACGGGGTAAATAGTAAGGACGGAGGCCCACAGCTAACAGTTCAATATCCGGGCTGCAGATGCGGTCTTTGACTGTGATGTGACCAGGATTGCACCACCTGTTGTTCACGTAAACAGCAAGCCCACCTCCTTTACGCTTACCGCTCTTAGTGCAGTCCCTGTCAGCCCGGACAGTGTGGAAACCCATGGTGGAAACATTGTGGTCAGGAACATCCATGTGTAGCCATGACTCTGAGAAAATCATCAGACTACACTCCCGGTATTCCTGGTGACTCCGGGTTAGCGCTGTAAGCTCGTCCATCTTATTCCTCAGTGATCTCATGTTGCCCATGATGATAGATGGGAGACACGGCTTGTATGTCTTCCTCTCCATAAGTTTCCGGTGTTTCGCTCCTTTCCGCCGCCGTAGCGATCTTTTCCCTCTGCATCCCCAGTGTGTTTTCCTCCAAAGTTCAGCAGGGATATCCTCCCTCACCATAGCCAAGCCGGCCGGCTTCAGCTCCATCAGCTGATCCCTGGAGTAAACAATGCGGTGTTGCTGAGCGACGGTCGAGTGGCAGAGTAAAAGGAGCGATTCCACCACAAGCAAAACAACAAAAACTCTCCACACAAGCATGATTAGAGAGAACGTAGCTTAATAAATAACTAAAGTAAAAACAGAACAAGTAAGATAAAGAAGAGAGGAAAAAAGTAGAAAACAAAGTTAAAGTAAGCAGGAGCGACTGGAACAGGCTGCATACACCGCGGCGCATGCGCACTCAGGACTCATACATTTATGCAATCACAATAACATTAGGCTACAGACGCAAACAGGTGGAATGGTATTAAAGCTAAGATTTAGTTCACTTAGATGCAATCCCACCTAATTATTTTTCAAGTGAAAACATGCTTGAAACAAGTGGAAATTGTCCAAAAACAAGTTACTTTAAGGTATGATTTGTTTTGACTAAAAATGAGACATTTTGACTAGAAATAAGACACATATTCTTGGTATGATTTTGAGTTTTTGCAGTGTGATGCAGTCTGACATTTTGAGACAATCTACCTGCATATTAATGCTGTGAATGGACTTCATATGCACATAGTCTCCTTCACTTTGTGAAGGAGCAATGATGGGAATGTGGGTTCCATCAATGCACCCTATCACACCGGGAAATCCTAAAAGAAATTAAAATGACTAATCCCAGTCTGAGAGTGCAGCACCATGTCATTAACTGAATATGATTTATAATCATACATTTTAACTGATTTCTACATCATTCACCTGCAATCCTGTGGAACTCCTCCTTGATGACCCTCACAGGTTTATGTCCAGGGAACACAAAAAAAGAGTTTAATAGACGTTTCAGAGCTAGGGACACTTTTCTCACGGCTCTGCAGACAGTGGCCTTACTGATATTTTCTGCATCTCCGATATTATACAGAAAACTCCTGTTTTTGCCAAAAAAACGAAGAGCAACACAAAGAATCTGGGTAGATGAAAGTGCACGTCCACGGTTGGTGATGTTGGTTATGTCACGACGGATGAGGTTATGGATATAAATGATGGACTGTGATGTGAAACGGTACTGTTAAAAAAGAAAATGTTCTGGAAATGATAAGTCTGTGGATATTCTCATTTATCCAGGTCAATTCCATTCTGGTTTGCCAGTCAATTCCATTCTGGTTTGCCAGTCTGGAAATGATAATACATCAATACGTCAATTCTGGGCCTGTGAATAATCTCCGGACAAATGCGTAACTCCCTCCTCAGTAACACTGCCTCTTCGTCCACAGGGTCCTCCAAGAACAGACATGCCATGGTCGAAAAAAGTAGATTTAGAACTAGAACACACTTTAGGATCCGACTTTACCTTGAGGACAGATGATCTAACAAAACTTGCCTTGAGCTGCTCCCAGGCCCACAGGAGGGTGCTGGCTTGCTGCAGATGCTTTGGTCCTGCTTTTAACCGCTCCCAGACAACTTTGGACGGAGTCTGTCCACTGAGAAGTAACACTCCTTTGTTTTCTTTGATTTGCTTACACATTCTTTAAAACCTTTAATGTATTTATTTGTCGTTCTTCCAAAGAGGGAGGGAGGGAGGCCCTCAGAGAACAGACCCACCAGAGCCCCTCCCGTGCTGCCAGGGGGCTGGACAGGGAGCGACCGCAAAAAAGAACATATGTTCAGTAGACTGTCCCTACCTGGTATGTAGTACTCTGTCAGTACTGTGTTTTTGTGTACGTGTTCACAGGTATACTGTGTAAGAACATCTAGGAAATGGGTCCACTCACCATGTCAGGTCTGAGTCTGAACATCAGAGGAAGGGAGTACAGCAGGGCATTCAGGGTGCTGATAACAGAGGAACTCCAAGACTGATGCACCTCCCGGCTCCGTGGGATCCAACAGATGGTGAACTGGGGAACAAGTACACGTCAGAGCCACTCAGAGACGTCATCATATTTATTACATCAAATACAGTGTTGTATTTGGATAAATCTGGCTTTAAGATATAATGTTGACAATAGAATTGGGCGGTATCCAAATTTTGTTACCGTTAAACCTTCCCCACATTTTCCAGGGGTATACGGTATTACCGTGACTAATTAAAAATTACTTTAAAAGGCTCAGAAGGAGTCGCCAAAATGTCGGCTTGCGTCTATACCGTTCAGAAACAGAATAGCAAACATTACATAGGCCTAAGAATACTGAAAAATGGGGCGTCGGTGGCTTAGTGGTAGAGCAGGCGCCCCACGTACAAGGCTGTTGCCGCAGCGGCACGGGTTCGACTCCAGCCTGTGGCCCTTTGCTGCATGTCACTCCCTCTCTCTCTCCCCCCTTCACGTTTGTCTGTCCTATCCATTAAAGGCTAAAAATGCCCGAAAAAAATATTTTAAAAAAAGAAAAAAAAAGAATACTGAAAAATAACAACAAAACATGTATAACATTAACAACTTTTATTAACAAATATTTATAAAAGTGCAAATGCAGCAGTCAACCAAACAGAATGGAATAACAACAAATTGTCTGTGGGCTACAGTCCACTTCCAGTACAGTAATCGACACAAATCATTAAATTAAAACACAGCCCTATAACATCGAATACTTATAGGCTTATCAAATAATAAAAAAGTAACAATACACAACAAAGGCAATAGCGAAAATGTGTGCTATACAGCATATCCTCAGACCGCGACGGGTAAAGTCCGTATTTTTAGAGCCTACCTTTAGTTTGAAGTGTTCACCCTCTCCAAGTCCCAACTGTTTTGTCCATCAGAACAGTCTACTCCTCATTGAAAATGAAATAAAAACAAAATATAATGATAACTATAGCAGCATCCTATGCTTCAAAACTATTCAAGGTTTTTCGCCAGAAAAACCAGCATGTTTACTCTTTCCAGCTGGAGCAGGGCACGTAGTGGATTGACAACTCCCTGAATAACAGGCTCGCGACAACAGGCAGTTATCTCTGCTCCTGCTCGCTCCTGTATGGTGCCGAGCTGACTTGCCACTGCATCGGCTTTTCTTTGAAGGTGACGGCCCAGAGTCATCTGTTTTTTCCAGTGGTTGGGGTTGCGCTTCTCCCTCCTCCACTCTGATGGACACTGGACCTGCTGCTGCTGCTTGCAGAAGTTGTGAAGTGGTGTTTTTTTTTTTGGGACAAACTCGCTTGATGTGTGGCTTGCCATCTTTTCTTCTCTTTCTCGCGTCCGAGCTGTAACGTGACGAGGTCACATCCAAAAACTTTATCAAATGTCCCGACAACAGTTAAGGGCAGTTATAAGAGAAACATTATAGCCTACTATTATTTTTAAATTGTAATAGTATTAAATTGAAAACTCAATCACACATACATAGGTGCTGGACAAGCCCTCGTTATTTACGCATTAAAGAAGCAACAGACAGCATTTTTGCCTATATATATCATTATGAAAATAATGTGGGTTGCACAGGGTAGTATACACAGTAAAATGAGACTATCAGTGTTTACATAGGTTACTTAGTGACTTTGCAATAAGCTTCTGCCACAGGGGACGAATTTTTGCGGAAAAAATCTGCTTTACGGCAGGAAATGCGTCAAGTATTGCCAAACTGGTTGGTCAGCCAATCAGGGACTGGAGCTGGTCCTTATGAGGAACTGGCCGGGGCATGAGATAGTTGAATCAGGAGCACAATGGCAGACGGACAAAGTTTGGAGATAAGTGAAAAACGGCCTCCCAAAAGAAAACAAGCTAATCTGTCTGAGGAGGAAAAGAAGAACAAAAAGGAGAGTGATAAAAGAAGAGGAAAAACAAGAGTAAACCTCAGTCAGGCGTTCAAGAGATGGAGGGGAGCTCCGTGACCAAAGAGGCTTCAAAACCGGTGTCCAGCTAGCTTTCTTTGTAATGGATCAGTAAGTAACACGGCTAAATGTTAGCTAGACCAGAGATAACCAAAAATAACTCTGCTGCGCATCGGGGGTTCCATTCCCCTGTCGGGAGTTATTTTTCAACAGTCACCGGCTCACTATACATAATCCCTTACGTGTCTACTGTTGTTTGAACTGATACTGTACATATTGGTATCATTTACTGGGAGCTGTTTGTACTGGTACTGTGCATTCTGGTATAATTATTTGCATTACTATTTGTTTTTTTCTTCAGATAAATCTGATAATTGTTGCTCGGTCTCTTTACTCATTTATTTAATATAGTGTCCACTATACTAGCTGACGCTAGGTGGCGCCAAGCTAAAAAAAAAATGAATCCTATCTGTTGCCTCTTTAAATAAATTATATTTAATATTATATCAGGCTCCTATAGGCCTATATGCGCAGCAGATTTTTTTTAAATGACAGTAATGAAACTGATACCGTTGCTATTTTTAGATACCGCGGGGTACCTTATTACCATATTATCGCCCAACCCTAGTTGACAGCCTCTTTCCAGCATATACACAGGTCAGTGGTCGATTTTCCAAACGAGTCTATAGTTTTCAATTATACTGCCAAGTAACAATAAAGATTCAGTTCACTTGAATCACAAAAATTATGTTCCAGTGGTATCTAGCCATAAGATCATTTTAATTTCCAACAACAGCTCAATACAGTGGATATGGATGAATTCTTTTTGTGGTTCTCTGGGCATTGAAAACATACATTTGAAAAATAGCAGATGTCTTTCAGTATGATCTACTGACCCCACTTTAACAATGGTAGAAAGTCATGTCACATTTTCAGTTGAGTACTAAATATAAACACTGCTTTCTAACTTCCATATTCACACATGTTCACATACGTATACACACATGAAAAACTTGACTCTGCGAAAAGTTTTCTCCATTGAGGATCCAAGCAACAACTCACTGCTAGAGCACTCTTGTTTTGGTTCTCATTATTCTTCTGTCTGTCTTTGTATTTTTCTCCACTACATGTTTGTGCATAAGATATCATAACCCCAAAAGTCATTAAATTTGGCAGGTAGACTGCAAATTCCACCCACAACTCACACACAAAGAATGACACTAGCTGACCTCAGGGTGGTGATATCACAACCAATTTTACAAGGAAAGTTTGATACGTCAGTCTGTTTGGAAATTCTACATTTTAAAACCTTTGACTTAAAGTTCAATTTTACATAAAAGCTCATAAATCAAAAACAGCTTGACCAGTTGTACCAAAACTTGTGTGCATGTTTGAATGCCATGTCCAAGTTTTGCTAAGCAATCTGCCATATTCTGCCACTAGGGGGTGCCACAAATGTGAAAAGTGTTTATCTTGTTTTTAGTAAGCCTGTAACGATACACATATCGAAACCGAAATCGCAAAACTCTAAGACACGAACCTGTGTCGCCTTTGAAATGGCGGAACCACGACACACCCCTTCCAACTCCCAGAGTTTGTGCCTCCAATCCAGATACAGCCATGAACTCACAGTGCTGCCAAACTTAATAATAATAATAATGATGATGATGATGATGATGATCATCATCATCATCATCATCATCATTATTATTATTATTATTATTATTATTATTATTAGTAGTAGTAGTAGTAGTAGTATTATCATCTTAAGTTAAAGGGACATTGTGTAACATTTTCAGTTGTTTATTGGCAAAACTTGATGTCTGCATTCATAAATATGTCATCACTGGTGTACTATTACCTCCACCAATAATCTGACTTATTCTCGTAAAAGGAGAATTTCGGATTTGTTTGTACATTGTGCGGGTAAGTCGTCTGTGGGGTTCCATTACGTTTCGCCATCTTGAGAATACACCCGCCAGCAAGGGACATACAGCACCGCCTTCGGCGTTTTCGTTGAGAGCCAGGCCAGCACTGCATGACTGAGGAGCCGAAGGAGAGGAGCAAGAGGCGCTTCGCTACTACCCTGGCAAATTTGAAACAAAGTCCCACTCTTTGAGCATAATGCAGGATCATGCATATGCAGCATCATGGGAGACGGAATCCTTGTTGCCAAGAAAGAGCAAAAGGGAATAGAAAAGGCAGCGTGACCGGCGAATTAAAAAAACGAAGGCCCACATCAGGGTAGCCTTTCCCAGGTAGAGAGAGTTGCTGAGGGAGAATGGTAATGCAATCACAGGCCAGCGCCGCTGTTGGCTGTTAGCCGCTGTTAGCCGCTGTTAGCGGCCAGTCACTAACAGCCTCATCCCTCTCCTCGCATCACTGCACCGCTGTTAGCTGTTAGCCGCTAGCCGCTGTTAGCGCTGGCCTGTGATTGTATTACCTTTCTCCTTCAGCAGCTCTCTCCACCTGGGAAAGGCAACCCCAATGCTGACCCTTGTTTTTTTAATTCGCCGGTCACGCTGCCTTTTTGATTCCCTTTTGCGCTTTCTTGACGACGAGGATTCCGTCTCCTGTGATGCTGCATAATACATGATCCTGCATTATGCTCAAAGAGTGGGACTTTATTATGCGGCAGTAGTGCCGCTGGCCACTAACAGCTGTTAGCGGCGCAGTAATGCGAGGAGAGGGAATGAGGTGTGTGAGGTTGAGCCACTTGTCAGTTGTCAAAGGACAAGACGTGATTGGTTTGTTTCAATTTACATCTGCCCCAACAGTCCTACGTTGTAAACACAGCCAGCATGGCGAGGAGGGGGTTTGTCAACTCGCATTGCGTGTGTCTGTGTAGGAGCCTGAATGAATACTCCATGTAGTATCGGATGACATGGTTCCATCAGTGTTATCATAGCTTTTTGGTACACAGCGGCTACAGTTGTTGCAATACGTGTTTGAAACAGTGAGACGCTAGAGTGCGGCATCTCTTTGAATGCAATATATGATTTCAGCGTTAGATGGGAGAAATTCCTACACACTGTGGCTTTAATTTAAAAAAACGTAAGCCTAGATTGAAGATAAATTTCTTCATCAAGCCTCCTCCAACTGCGTGTCATGTGACTACTTTTTCCGGTGACGGTC